ACAGTTGTCGCCATGCCATATGTAATTTCTTCAAAAGTTTCATCCAAGAAAAACAGTGTAGTCGTCAGTTTTTTACCAATCACAAGAGCTTCAATCTCCTCATGGCCAGGTATGGTAAGCCTAGGTCCAGCCTTAACAGAATGCTTCAATGCATTTCGTGTGTTCAATGCAAGGACGTGAATATCTGGATCAGTATTCACACTGTGTGCTAGATTATGAACATATTCTGATAAATACCCACCAATATCCTTGCTAGGAGGCATGCAGGATGCACATAAATACATTAACTCCCATGCTCTAATTAAATATTGCCTGTATTTCAAAAGAAACAAGTAAAACTTATGAAAATAGTTGAACAATAAAGAATGCATTAAGGAAAGGACTAGAGCAGTTCTAGCACTGGCAATTTATAAGACAGTATAAATGCATACTTATCAGGATTATTCCTTGTCTGCTTTGAAATTTGTGCAAAAAGTTCGTCTCGAGCTCAAAACGCTTCAGAGTATCCTTATATAGTTTCCCAATAAGCTCAATGCGTTCCTCTAACCTTGTTGGAGTCACTCGATCAAACGAATCAACACCCATGTACTTCAAAACAATCGGGAACAGTTTTACTGCCCGATTAACTAGATCACTGTTTATCTTTAGGATTGAAGTTGGGACAGGATCCTGTCAAAAGTTGAAACAAAATCCCTAATTGATAAAATCAACAACAAAACAAATTGTCATCATCAAGCTTAATATGTTATTACCTTTTGGAAACACATCATATCCGCAAATGAGAATTTCTTCCGTACTTCGGTGCCCGCGGATCTTTTAGAAGAAAAAAAACCCACGTTTTCCAACTGATTGAATTTGTTTTGGCATTGCCCTTAGAAACCTCTCCGCCTAGAGAAAACAATGGAATATGATATAGTGAAAATTTGACTATCATTCACCAAAAGCAAGAAAACAAAAGTTGGACAAGCACTCAAGTAATTCTGAAATCAACTAACCAAATTGAACAGAGAAGAAATTTTCTCTATGAATGTTACAATTAAGAGCATAAGCATATCTTGTCACCTGGAATTTATCAATCAAGGGTATAGCACCAGCTAGTTCTAGCGGAACAGCCATTGACAGGGTTGATGGTGTACTGCAAGATACATTAAATGGAAATCATCTTTAATCTTAGGGTCTACAAGTCGCTATACAAGATGCAAAACCTTGTGACAATATAGAATCTAACAAGCTAGCTTAAGCTCAAGAGCTGACAATCTCAACATAATACAAGAGGAATGAAAGAAACTTACGGGTGGAGCAAAATTGGAACCATAGCTGTCATATTCTTCCCCATTCGAGACTCTAGCAGGGTTGAGTGAAGGAGATTCATATCCATTATTAGAGGTGAATGAAGACCTGCTTGTTCTAAAACTTTGTGCCATACCTAGCCGCATATCAGATGTCATTGCATCAAAATATCCCAAACATCTAAAATTGCTCTACCTTACTGTCTCAACTGAATTGTTTTTCTCCTTAAACCCCCTTAACCTCTTCAACCATGTCATGAAGCCTCGAAACTGAATTAAAAAGATAAGGACAAAGTTCAATGTAATATTAACTTGCAAAGATAGGCTACGTACTATCTATACTAATATATAAAGCAAAGGCTTGAGTTGTCTATCTATCTATACTAATATCTCTATCTATCTACACTAATAATTTCAAAAAATAGCAAAAAATTATTAGATAACATTACAAATTACACACATGTAGTGTGTGCCCACCTCTAGTATGTATATATAGATGGATTTAGACCAAACATACCCAACAATAATAATAGTAATAAGAAGAAAATAAAACCAAGATCTTGAAAACAGAAAAAATAAAAGGAGGAAACCCAAGTGGAGAAACACAACAAATAAACAAAATAGTTTGAAAAGAGTTGTCATATTTCAATCTAAACACAGCAAGCAGATCGACCCATAATCTTGAAAGATTGGGGGGAAATTTATCTACAACTCAGAAGAGCACCAAAATGTATGCTTTTGTTCGGTGCATATATAATATACACACACAAATACACATATGTAAATGAAATAGAAATGCAGAGTAACATCGAAATGGACCAAATGTTCTGTACGGAAACAAAAATTGCACCAAACTACCTCAGCCGACCATTCGCTGGAAGCAAGTTTGAGATATCCGCCGGCCGTCGATCATGCAATAGAGAGAGAGAGAAAGAGAGAGAGAGAGAGAGACAACCACTGGAGTGAGGGAGGGAGAAACAATAGTGAAGGTGTGAGTATATTTTAAAATTTTCTATATTTGGAAAAGAAAATCACAAAAATGATTGAGAATTTTATGTATTTGTTTAAATAATAAATAAATAAAATTTTCTATATTTGTTTAAATAATAAATAAAAAAAATTGTCAACAATATACAGTATATGGTTGAGGATTTTATATTCAAAAAAATGATCTTTTAAGTTGTATCATTTTACAATAAAATAAAAATCTTAGGATTATCAAATTAATTTAATTTTTTTCATAAATAATAAATATAAAAAAATTATAAAATAAACAGTCTAAATTTTCAAAATATAATCAATAGTGGATCCCAAAAGCCCTTCAAATTCTCAAATTCATATTTAAACTCTCAACATAAGAGAAGTTCAACCATTTGTAAATTTACTTCTTTTTTTAATAAATTTACTTGCAAAATTGCATTTAAACGAAATAATGAGAAAATAATTGCATTTTCATGTTTTCAGTGAACAATGAGAAAATATTGCAAATCCAACCTCTGTGACAAAATTTCACCAAAAAATAAGTTGGTTGGGCTTTTTTGGCTATTTTAGCCACAAAAAACAAAATAGGCTATTTTAGTCATAAAAAACAAAACATCACATCCAACCCATAATCATTACACTC